TTGTCTTTCTCCAACCACTTCTTTATTTTCATCGTTTAACACGTCCTCCACACTCCACCGTATCCTGGACACCGCGGCTCGCTCGCCGTGCTTGGCCCGTCTCGCCCACCACCTTGGTTCCCAGTATCACGTCGCTTTGCTCCGCACACACACACACACACGTCTTCAACTCTTCTATTCCTACGCTCTCGCCACTGCTGGGTATCCTCCTCAGCTCCTCCGCTATACAGCGTCGTCGCACACAGCGAAACCCAATCTCACTTCTCTGTCTCCGCACGCCTCGTCTCCAGCTCATCTATCACTACGCTCTCTCCACTGCTAACTGCTCCGTCTTCTTCAGCTTCGCTATCACTATGCTCTCTCCACTGCTAACTGCTCCGTCTTCTTCAGCTTCGCTATCACTATGCTCTCTCCACTGCTAACTGCTCCGTCTTCTTCAGCTTCGCTATCGCTACGCTCACTCCACTGCTAACTACTTCGTCTTGCTTCAGCTTCGCTATCGCTACGCTCACTCCACTGCTAACTGCTTCATCTTGCTTCAGCTTCGCTATCACTATGCTCACTCCACTGCTAACTGCTTCGTCTTGCTTCGGCTTCGCTATCACCATGCTCCAACTCTCTTCTAAACTGTTTCCGAACTCCACGTCTTCACCGCACAGCTCCCAACTCCAATCTCCCCCCCTCTCTCTCTGTCTCCCCCCAATTTATCCCCATTCTCATTATCGCTAATTAATTGGTCCGCGTGCTTCCGCACGCCTCGCGTCTTCAACCACCTCCCTTTTTCCAGACACCTCGACGCCTCCTCGGCCCCAGCAACAGCACCAACCAATCACAGCCCTTCTGGCTTAATTGGCCCGACCGGTACCTCATCACCCCAGCCTCTTCACCTGGCTGTCCTAACACGACCCCACTGTTTCCGCCGTCTCCTCAGGCTGACCCCAGATAAACCCCACACTGTCCGTGTGATCAATACACTCGCGCAGTTTCACCAGCACACCTTCCTACTCCACTACACCTGTATAAAAGGCACCTGTCCACAGAAGCAATCAATCAATCAAATTCCAAACTCTCCACCATGGCCAAGACCAAAGAGCTCTCCAAGGATGTCAGGGACAAGATTGTAGACCTACACAAGGCTGGAATGGGCTACAAGACAATTGCTAAGCAGCTTGGTGAGAAGGTGACAACAGTTGGTGCGATTATTCGAAAATGGAAGAAACACAAAAGAACTGTCAATCTCCCTCGGCCTGGGGCTCCATGCAAGATCTCACCTCGTGGAGTTGCAATGATCATGAGAACGGTGAGGAATCAGCTCAGAACTACATGTGAGGATCTTGTCAATGATCTCAAGGCAGCTGGGACCATAGTCACCAAGAAAACAATTGGTAACACACTACGCCGTGAAGAACTGAAATCCTGCAGCGCCCGCAAGGTCGCCCTGCTCAAGAAAGCACATATACATGCCCGTCTGAAGTTTGCCAATGAACATCTGAATGATTCAGAGGACAACTGGGTGAAAGTGTTGTGGTCAGATGAGACCAAAATGGAGCTCTTTGGCATCAACTCAACTCCCCGTGTTTGGAGGAGGAGGAATGCTGCCTATGACCCCAAAAACACCATCCCCACCGTCAAACATGGAGGTGGAAACATTCTGCTTTGGGGGTGTTTTTCTGCTAAGGGGACAGGACAACTTCACCGCATCAAAGGGACGATGGGCGGGGCCATGTACCGTCAAATCTTGGGTTAGAACCTCCTTCCCTCAGCCAGGGCATTGACAATGGGTCGTGGATGGGTATTCCAGCATGACAATGACCCAAAACACGGCCAAGGCAACAAAGGAGTGGCTCAAGAAGAAGCACATTAAGGTCCTGGAGTAGCCTAGCCAGTCTCCAGACCTTAATCCCATAGAAAATCTATGGAGGGAGCTGAAGGTTCGAGTTGCCAAACGTCAGCCTCGAAACCTTAATGACTTGGAGAAGATCTGCAAAGAGGAGTGGGACAAAATCCCTCCTGAGATGTGTGCAAACCTGGTGCCCAACTACAAGAAACCTTTGACCTCTGTGATTGCTAACAAGGGTTTTGCCACCAAGTGCTAAGTCATGTTTTGCAGAGGGGTCAACTACATATTTCCCTCATTAAAATGCAAATCAATCTATTACATTTTTGACATGCGTTTATCTGGATGTTTTTGTTGTTATTCTGTCTCTCACTGTTCAAATAAACCTACCATTAAAATTATAGACTGATCATTTCTTTGTCAGTGGGCAAACGTACAAAATCAGCAGGGGATGAAATGCTTTTTTCCGTCACTGTAGAGATATTTTTCAGAAGCGATCTGGCCACATGTGGTAATGAAGTGGCTGATCATATGGAAATGTATAGCAGCCAAATTCTCTAAACGGATGTTTCTAAATGTGGAGGAAAAACCCGGAGGATCCGAATAAAAATCCATGCACCCACGGGGAGAAAGATACACAATCTCCAAATATGCAGGCGTCACTGTCGGAATCGAACGGATGATCCTCCTGTATACCAGGCGAGGTAGTGAACATCTCGCAGTCAGACATGGGACAATACTGAGCATTGCGTGCGCTACTCGGCAGGCAGCTGTCTCGTGCGGTGCCTTGTGCGTTGGGTGACTGCGTGGTCTACGCTTCGCGATTTCGCTTTGTGCCCTTTTTTTTCGGAAAGCATCTCCCGCATAAGGCGAGAGAAACCTGTATAGTGGGTTGATGGTCTCAGCCCGATCAGATAATACTACCCTTATATTCATGTAAAATGTAGTTTATCAATTAATTTTGCTGAAATTCGACCTCTGCAAATAAACTGTAAAAAATCTCAACTTGACAAACGATATTGGCAGGGCATAGAGAATGTGTATTTTTAGTGTGAATAAATAGCTCTATAAATTAATAAATAGCCTATAACCAAAGGTGGAGTAGTGGCACAGCAGTTAGCGCACTCGTCTTTGAATACGATGGACTGAATTCAATTCCCGAGCCAACGGCTAACATCAGTGGCGAGTGATAGCCCCCTCCACACCCACGCTTTCCCTACATCACCAACCCGCACTGACCAGCCTATGGTCATAAAACCCCCACAAGGAACACGACGCGGTGAGGCGTCCATCCAGCAGTGGATGGACCAAGAAGTAGTGAATTACTTTTCTTTTTAACATTCACGCTGAACTGGGCTCAAATCAACATCGGCTGCTGCTGCTCCTCCTGTGATGTTTTTGCTCAGCCGGGAGCTGCTGCCGTGAGCTTCAGCGACTCAGGGGTAAACAGCGGCGCGCAAATTAAAATATTAATCGGACAAACAGCGCAAGGAGTGGATTTGGCAAAATCCCTGGGTATTGTGCCAGAGCGAAGGATCCGATTGGCATCGCTGCAACGCACGCTAGTAAACGTTTATTTAACGCCGCCTGCTATTTTTTGATAATGCCGTTAAAATATAGGCGGACGCCACGATTCAGTAGTTTCGTAATTTAGTTTGTCTTGTCATTTTTATTCGGTTTACTTCGTGAGAATTTTTTTGTCGAGTTAAGAATTAATTGAAATGTAACCCAGATCTCCCCCTTACAAAGGAGAATATCGTCGAAATGGGTTCTCACCTGCTTCTACAGATAGTTGATGCTGCTATTGATGATGCATTGCAGATCTCTTGTAAACTGACCAGTCCTGGGTCGGTCTTGACAAGTTTCGATTTAACCAACACATATATCCACATTCCACTGTGCTACAGAGCACCGCTCTATGTGTGTAAATCACCTACTCTGAGCTCAGTGAACTCCCCTGCATACGCGTTTAACACATACTTTACCCACTGTAAAGTAGTTTTTTTCCCATCCGATTGTTTGTGAAAACTTACACGGATGCTTCCATCTCCTACAACGACGTTATCATGGCCCTCGGTCGTGCACACGGGCGTGCGTGGTGCTGTACGTGGTGCTGTCCGTGCAGCTGTCCGTGGTGTTGCCCGTGGTGCTGTCCGTGATGATGACGATGGGGAGCGGTGGTGCAGTGGTCTGCGCCCTAGGCTACGAACCTGGCTACCTCGACGTGCTTCTAAACCACATGGCTATCTCTACAGTTCCATCTCGTGACCTCCCTTCCACGAGCAGTGGCATGAGCAAGCAATAGCAGGGCTGTGCCTTTAGGGGCCATCCATTTAGTACGTACGAAAAAGATATGTCAAAACTTGACCCCTCCCCCCCCCTCCCTGTACGCACGCGAACTTTTTACACCCCCTCCCGCCACTAGCGTACGTACGCTTGACGCACCCCCCACCCCCCGAATCCTATAGAACGGCCGATATTTAATCCACGCAGAAACGATCAAGGATTAATAATAATAACAACGTGTTTAAGCAAACAGATAGTCCACCGCCGGACTATCTAACTAATTTGAAGGCCAATGTAGACAAATTATTATCGAAGCTTCGCCCTCCCCCCGCCCCCGTTTCCTATGCGTGCATTATCAGTACACCCCCCCCCCATACCGAAGCGAACGTATTTGGGTTAACCCCCCCCCCCGTCTCCCTCCATGCGTACGTACTCAATGGATGGCCCCTTACCAAAGTTACCACCTTCCCCACACTTAGCAGTATTTATACCGTCGTTGTCGATGCGTGCGTGCGTGTCTGGGTGTGTTGGGTGGGGTGGGGGCGGGAGGAAGCGGGAGTCGAGCGGTTTGCGCCACGCTGTACTACGGACCCGGTGATCCGAGTTCGATTCGCCCACAAACACCAGTGACGATTATCTGAACCGGTCATGGGCCTCCCCTAGGTCGACTAAGCCGAAAATCAGTACCTGGTGCGGTGCATAAACATCGCCACTCGGGAGACAAAGGCGGTCGGGTGCGCGGTGCTGGCCTCCCACCCTCTCGTGTGCCACAGTTCCGGCCTTCACATGTACGACTGACGAACAGCACTCGACCCAACAAGTCTGCTAAGGCTATACCGCGGGTGGGATCTCTGTCTGCGCATGTGTCTCCGTGCAGGTGGAACGTGCTGGGCGTGCAGGGCGCCCTGCTCAGCCGGCTTCTGGAGCCCATCTACCTGCATGGCCTGGTGCTGGGCAGCCTCTACCGGCCGCAGCACCTGTGGCGAGCGGTGTGCACGCGCGTGCGTGGCGTCACGCACCTGCCCGGCCCCTACCGCCTCAACGCGCCGCGCCTCGCCTGTGAGTCTCTCACGCGCCCGCTCATTAACCGCCCTCGTTTCTAAGGTCGAGTTCGAGACGTCATCGTGGCCACAGCGATTGAGACCACCCACCGCAGAAGAATGAGATGTTATTTTTTTAAAAATCTGAATTTTTATTTAGACTGGAGAAATCCGAAGAGCTCTGAAGCTCTTTTTCACAGATCTCAAGTAGTTTTCACAGATGTCCAGTAGACTGCACCTTCAGATCCCACAGCAGCTGCTGCGCGGTAGAGACACGCGGCACATTCGTGTATTTACATATTTTTTGTAACTTTATTTTTAGCTTTCTGTGCAAAATAATGTTTAAAAAATCCAAAATTCGTAGATATACGCAGCGACATCCCAGATATGCCCTGGCAGTCTCATCCCACCATCTGCTCTTGGACTCAAACAAAAACCCATAGACTCACCTAGAAACCCATACATTAAAACAGGAACCCACAGACTCACACATAGACCCATGTATCTGCGCTCACAGTCTAATCCCCTCAGTCGTGGAGCTCAGGGAGACCACTCCAGCGTCTGTCTCGGCTATCACCACCCAGCGTAGCCGTTTTTTGCCAAATCACATCGACAACACGCGCCTGCGCCGTGTTTTCTTCCAGACTTGTGCATTGAGTCTCCTGCCTTGCCACAAATTTCCGAGCATCTGTCATAGACGCCTGGGCTCAAATGCCAGCAACTTATTTTCGAGGCGATTACTAACCGTCCATCTCTCTGATCCGCACAGTGACAAAGACTACACTGTTGCCCCAAACACCCTTCTCCATAGGGTCAGACGTTCTTCTCTGCTCTTCCACAGTTATCAAAATATAAACAAATACATATTAATTACATTTCTCTCTTGGCATTCCAAACCAATATTACGATCCAGCAGCATTTTTTTTTCAAGTAAGAAAATTCTGGACCGGATTTACCCTAAAACGATATTGTCTAATATTCCAATAAACATTGAACGTTGTCCCAACTTTGGATCAACGGTTCCAACCACATTTCTAACGTCTTCCTGACGTTGCCATGTTTATTGGGATACTATGTTACCCTTCTTCAATGGCCTTTGTCGCAAAGGAAGCTCCCACGGTGACCTTGCTGTCACACACATTCGTGATCTAGGATTACATCTCTTCAAGAAAGCCATTGTTAGCGTTCCCCGCCTTTGGAGGTAGCGATTAAGCGGCTGTGGGCCGATGGCTTTAACGGCGCCCCCCCTCCTGCTCACTGGAACGTTCATCAGACAACCACTAAACAACGCTTATTTGTAATGTGCCCCACAGATAATTAGGTTCGGCTCGGGGCTTCGCTGAGTTACGCTCGAGCGTTAAAAGCGTGCAGCTCACCAGACACCCGCACACATTTTCCACCGTGGCTGATGAAGAAGTGGTGGGGGAGTGGGGAGCGGCGGGGTGGGCATTGTAGAGAATCGTACACAGGCCGCCGAGTTACGAACAGGGCTTGCCTCTCTACGTGCAGAGCCGAGTCATATTCCACGGCAAGTCACGCAAAGGATGTAACGCCAAATTGGATTCGTAAAAAAAAAAAAAAACACGATTGGAGAAGATCTACAAAATGTAACCGACTTATAAACTAAACTATTTTTTTTTAAACTAACCTATTTTTATTTTACCAGGTAAGGTCCACTGAGCTGTATATATTTTTTCGGAAGCGACCTGGCCACAAAATGATAGGTCAACGAAGTGACTTATCAATGTGAACATTTATAGCAGCCAAATACTCTTAAGTTATGAAGAAAATATAATAACCGTCTACAGATGTAATGCGGGTAAGGGCGACAACATATCATGCTGTATCTACTGCTGGATGAAGGCCGCCTCTTGCTGTGCCGGATATGGGGGCTACCTAACTATACTTCACTACGTTGGTCAGTTCCAAGCACTGCTCGGAGATAATTATTCAAGTGTGAAATGTGCTTTGTTTAACCGTGTGGGTGAGATCTCAAGAAAAACCAGGATAGAGTCCCATTTGCAAGAGGTCACCTGGATTACCACACTTATAAAAGCAAAAAAATACGGCAACCAATCGAGATTATGTAAGTAAAAACAAAAACAAGTGCCGTGGCACGTGAGCCACGTCACCCGCCACTGATGTTAGCCGTGGCCAGAAATCTAAATCAGGTGTTCGCCAGGGTCATAGTGCCAGTGCCCTCACCACTGTGGCACCGATCCACTCCCAAAACACAAGACAATTGGAGCAAAGCAATCTACGAAATTATATAAAAGAGCAAACCCTGAACGGAGAGCGAACATGCCAAAGTTTGATTTTTTTGTTTCAAAAACTCACCACACAATTATGGGGACAATTTGGCCGTCTGTTGGCCATCGTCACAGAACCTTTTGGTACCATCGATAACTCCGGCCCCCACCGCACCCTCACCCCCCCCCCCCCTTGTAAATGAGTGACGTAACGAGCCGGGGGAGCGGGGGGGGTTACGGCAGCGCCCGAGCGAGCGCCGGCCAAGCCACCATGGAACGAGTCGCGTCCATCCACTCCGCACGTCGCTTCCACCACGACGACTCGCGCTGTAGCTGACGATCCGATTCAAGCCTCCCCCACAAACCATCCACCCCCTCCCCCCCCCCGCGCCAAACAACAAACTCCCCCGCGTCCGAGCCGCAGCTGCTGCTGCTGCTGGCTGTGTGAACCTGACGCGTCTTTAGGTGAAACTGCCCTGCCTTGAGCTGTACGGTGGTTGTACACCTACGGGTAGCTCGGGCCGATCCACTGCGAGTCGTGGGCGATATTTAACCACGCTTCACGGGGAGCATGGAAGTACAGGACAGTATCGCAATGGATGCTGTTGTACAGCCCTCTGACCTCGTCCTCCCTTCTAGCCGAGCCATCCAAACACGAAACTCCTCACCCATCCACCGACCAAATCGGTCAACCACCCAACCGCTCACTCAACTACCTACAATAATGACAAATACCCCATTGTTGCCTTTTAATAGGTGATCAGTGATCACCTATGAAGGCCAGCACGGTACGCAAAGGGAGTGTGGCGGTGTTTACACACCGTCACCAGGTACTCGTGTGAGGCTGAGTCGACCGAGGGGAGGCCCCGGGACTGCTTCAGATAATTGTCACTGGCGTTGGCCGTGAAGGGGAATCGAACTCGTCGTGCTGGGTTCGTAGCGCAGTGCGCTATAGCTGCACTACTGCTCCCAACTACCTACACAGTCATCCACTCAAACAACCGTACAACTATCCACGAAACCAGCGATCTTCATCGCTAGGCCCCTTGTGACTTTTAAATGCGGCCCCTCACGTGGCGGCCCCCGACAATACACAACACGTGAACACACACCCCATCATCATCGGACTGTTGTCAAAACCCCAATGGTTTCAAATGTGTGGCGACCCTCAGCAATAATGTGGTGAGGGTCGCCACACTAGAACCTCCGCACCCACCCAAGCTAACGACCCACACACCCACCCTGTCCAATACCCCACCCAATAACCCAGCCAGCTAACCCACAGCCACCTAACAACTCACCCACCCCATCAACTCAAACTCGAGCTAACAAAACCTCGACACAGCCCACCCCCCGCACAGCCCCACTCCCCCACACAGCCCACCCCCCGCCCAGCCCCACTCCCCCCACACACCCCGCACAGCGCCACTCCCCCAAACAGCCCCCCCCCGTACAGCCTACCCCCCGCACAGCCCCACTCCCCCCACACAGCCCCCCCCCCCATACAGCCCACCCCCCGCACAGCCCCACTCCCCCCACACACCCCCCCTCCCATACAGCCCACCCCCCGCACAGCCCCACTCCCTCCCCCATACAGCCCTCCCCCCGCACAGCCCCACCCCACTCCCCCCACCCCCCCATACAGCTCACCCCCCGCACAGCCAACACTGCACCCCAGGCGTCTCAAGGACGCTCCGCCACACCCCCCCCCCCGCACCCCTTCCCCCCGCCCCCTCTTGCTGTGGTAATTAACGATAAGACCTCGGCGACGCTAATAGGAATAGACCCGTCGCGTTATCGGTGCCCGGGTTATCTGGCGTAATGAAGGCAAGCAGCACAGGCTAATGCGATTTCAAGGATTGCAGATGGAGATAAGATGTGTGGAGGGTGCTATTTCAAGCGCAATTGTTGCTACAGAATGATCATCATCAGCAGCAAGCATTACGATGATGAGCATTAAACATCGTGCATTAAGACAAATAAAATAGGGGTTAAACTGCGTCGATTCGTCTCGTGCGTATCATCAGTAGTAGCCAGGCACAATCCACTGCTGGATTAAGGGGTCCCCGAGCTGTCATCCCACGTCTCACTGTTCTGCGATGCGACATTCGCAACGCGCACCTGAACGTCGAGCTCATTCCGTCGTCACATTCCCGTGGTGGCTGCTACTCCGTTCTTAGCCTCGACCATCGGCCAATCATTCCGTCCAGCGACGCGTCCTGCCGAAGCCCACTTGACTTTTCTTAACAGTCGATGTGAGTGTGTCTAAGCTGCGTGCATTCCTCCAAAGCACGTGGCCCTCTCTCTGGTTCTCAAACGTCATTTGAAGCCTGCACCTCGCCACGTGTCAGCTCTTGTTCGCCTATGCTTTATCAATGGACTGATCCATATGTTTATTCCATATCTCCACAAACGAAGTGAGAGACAGTTTGGTCTATCGGCCGATTGTCACGCTTAACGTGCAGATTTTACGTATATTTTACCCACCCCCAGAAAGGTTCGCGTTAAATTAGCAAACACTGCTAGCTATAACACACGTCCGGAAAGTCTATTTTACTAGAACGCCTCACTGAGTTTCATGAATCGTTGACAGGAGGATCCTGCTACGTGTTTTGCAATAGGTGGCGATGATTGCTACGTAGATTCAAATTCATTCATTTTAGGTGTCACACTATGGCCTCCTCTTGCGAACGACATCACAGGATCTCCAACAACGTTCACTCTGAAGTAATGACTATCACGACGCTTAATACACCCTCAGTATTAATTA